GCTGGGCATAAGATACTCCCTATTTTACACTGTATATCATAGAGCTGACACAAATATTCCCATCTTTCTTGAAGTATTATTTGAATTTCACTAGACCTCTCAGGATCATCTTGTATATTCCTTGATTTGCTATAGAGCTCTGAATATATTATGGATTTCCCGCATTTTTCACAATTTTTCTGGCCCTTCCACAGCCTGCAATCAATTCCAGATACCAATAATGTAATGGCTCTGCAGATCGCGTGAACCTGCAGAGAGCCTATGTCATAGAAGGCAGGAGCCAATCAGAGTCCAGGAGTGCAAACCGACGCGGCCCGCACCTCAGCCACTGACTACAAGCCACTACAACAGTCAATTCCCACGATAAGCAATAAAAGTAAAACCGCCATGCAGACTAGGACAAGACACACAATTGATAAATTCACGAAAATATAATTGTAGACCCGTATAGCATACGTCCTATACTAGAGGAAATAAAAGAGAGATAAGACGAAGAATTGAGCCCGAAAATGAGCAAACAATGGTCCCAGAGACTACAAAAATGCGCCAAAAGTAGTCTCACATACAACCGGACTTCCAATCGGAGTTTCCAAAATGTACGGTTCTCACGGGGTACAACGTTCGGCACGCAGGCATATTTTGTCCCCGAGCTCGCAAGGTACGGTACAACAATCTAGATACGTCAAAAGGTTATCACAACACTATATGAGCTGTCAGAGTGATAAAGAGTGACGATAAGAGAACGAAAGATAAACATAACCCAAAAAGGAAAGAATGTCGCTAAATTTGGAATCCGTGCAGTTTGCCACAGCCTGAGAAACAGAGCGGTGTCACCTCTCTGATTCCCACAGTCACTCCAACACTAACCTTCGATATCATGCCCTTTACGCGAGCCATGGATGCCCTCCCGGCAGAACTCATTCATCAGATTCTGGAGCTACTATGCACCGATGGTGGGCGGGCAGTGTGCGCTCTCCGCTCTACCTGTAAATCACTCTGTGCAGCATCGGACCCGTTCCGGTTCCGCGCGGTAGCTGTAACAACTCCTGGGCAATTAGTCTCCTTGCTCGACGCTTTCACGCAATCATCGCCTCTCGCGAAAGCGAGCATGCGCCACCTCTTCATGGTCGTGCATAAGGAGAGCACGGAGGCTGGTGTGCCGCAATCCGATATGAGACTTGTGGTGTAGCATCTAACTCATTACTTGCCAGGCAGCTACATCCTCCAACGTACCTCGCACACCCTGGAGACTCTCACCTGCCTGATCGAAGACAGCGGCGCGTCCGTCGACCAGACCATCATATGGACTACGTTCCCCCGGCTCACCGCACTCACCCTGCGTTACCGCATCTACCCGTACTACTTCTTCATCTTCGGCGGCCCACCCGAGAGCATCCCTACGCTGCCCAATCTGCGCTACCTTCACGTAGCCCAAGAACGACTAGAGAATATTCATGCCGTCCACAGGACCATGGATCTCTTTGCGCGGCGTACAGGGGGGCGGCTCGAGCGTGCCAGAGTGTCCAGCGTGATAGTAGGAGAAGCGTCGATACGATCGCTGCAAGAGATACTGTCGTTCGGGACTGTGGGGGGTGCTCCACCGGTACCCGCTAGTCTTCGATATTATGTCATCGAGTTGGACTCGGTAGCACGGTGGTGGTCGCAGCCGGAGTCACAGGTCACAGACAGGCTGGTGGATCTCAAGCGGTGGGCCGAGGAGCAGGGCGTTGTGCAGCTCATAATTCTCCCTTCAAGTAGAACCTACGAGAAGACGCCAGAGATGTGGAAGGAGGAGTGGCTGCAGGTGCAGAGTGGTGCCGTCGACCGGGTGGCAGAATGGCTTGATACGATGCACGGTACCGCAAGTGTTGCAAGTCCAGATTCAAGCGGCGGGGTGCAAGTTCTCGAATAGGGTACCGGGGTGCACGGGATCCTAGAGAGCTACTCTGGACAAGTCGTGATGCGAATCGCTCAAGAGACGCGTAGCCCAGCCGACAGAACTCCTTGACGGTACTGCAGACGTGCTCTCTCTTTGTGAGCCATACGCTGAGTCGCGGCGAAGGGCAGGAATGACGGTGCGCGTCTTCCGAACATGCAGGGGATATTCCCGCTTCGCAAGGAGATCAACATGCTTAACGCGACAGTTGCGAAAGCCCTTAGGATTTGCACCGCATTGATTGGCAACCTCGAGCGACGTGCGTTGCATTACTTGGCTCAATACACAGCGTAGGCAGAGCTTGATAAGGTATACCAGCTGTAGAAATATCCGAGAACCTGTAGGGTGGCGTTTTAATAAATTTGTTGCGGCAGTAAGGTGGAACACGCACTCTCGGCTTTCAAAGGATGTCATTTACTTCCTTGCTGATATGCTAGAATTCGCTGTCCACGGACGTTGTGAGGACAGAGAGAGGACTCTGGCATTCTGCAACGAGATTTGTTGATACATGGCAATATATTCATCGGAGACAGGGTGCCTGACTATCCACCCTTTTGTTTCTCGCATCCTGAGGATGCGACTGGGTCAGTCACGTCGATCTGATAGACGAAGGACATATTAGGACACGGGTACCAGTCTCATGGATAGCACACCTTGCACTCTTGCCGAGGACTGTGCGCGGATACGAAGCACTCAAGCGGTGTACAGCCTAGCTGTGACAGCGCTGGTGGTATGGGAGACTTCCCGTCGCTTTCCGTGCTTTGAGTACGTCGTGTCGGATGAGGGAAGTGTTCGAAGAACGGTGCCAGTGGGAAGGCCTGTTTTGGTACATCGTCATCGCATCGAGTGCTTCCTTGAAGTTGAAGGCTAGTCATCGCTACATCTCTCTATATGAGGGCAGATAACAAAGGTCAGGAGAAATGCGGAGTGTTCGATGGTGCGAATGGACTAGAGAGTGGCCTGAACTCGGGTAGACGCATGAGACACTCAGACAGTGAGGGCATGATAGGCGACTCATTACCATATACGCCACCGACGGGCTCGAGCTTCCGGTTAGATATCAACCAATCAGATCCGAGAACACACGTACGCATGCTGGGCACCGGTGTGCAGTCAGCAGGTACTGTACAAAATAATCTTCGTTTATGATGTGTGCATTGTACGGACCCAGTTGAACTCTAAATCCAGATCAGCATTCCGCATACAGTGCTTATCAACTGAGCTTGATGTCCGTGAGGGGCAGCACGCTATATATCTCCGGCCCACACTGGATAATCCTCAGCCAATATCTCTGGGGCCGACTGTTCCGGCCACTCATATAATGGATCTAGCTCGCCCGCCTGGACCGAAAGCCACTTCTCCCTCCACTGCGGCCACGGCACGATCGCCCGCCTGGGCAGGAGCACCAGCCGGACCGCGTCCTTCTGCTCTCTCGTCTCCCTCTCGAGGCTGGTCAATTTCCACCGGGAGGTAGTGCCGAGGAAGAACGCCCCCACGACGTACGTCCGGATGGGCGACAACGCCGGCCAGGGCAGCGGCGGGGACTCCACCAGCTGGTGTGCGGGGAAAAGTAGCATCTTGCGGAAGGCAGCCATGCTGCACAGCCCGTCCCGCCTGAACACCACGCCGCCAGAAAGCCGCACCCGCGTGAGAAGACCCCCGGTGCGGGTTATGAACCGGCACAGTGCAATATGTGCGCTGTGCATATAACCGGAGCGGGCGTACGCGATGTGCAGGTACTGCAAGCAGGGGAACAGTGGGCTGGCTGAAGCTCCTGGGAAGAGATCTGAGCGGTCATCCGGGGGGTAGCTCATGTCCACACAACACAGCGAGAGCGCGTGGAGTCTTGGAAAGGCGGTTGCGAGCAAGCGAGCGTGCAGGGTGGAGCACGAGGACAGGCAGATACAGGTGAGACATTCGAGACACGGTGCCGTGAGCTGGAGGACGTCATCTGCAAATACTTCATATGCAGAAGGGATATGCAATGTCACCGTTGAGGCACGTACCTACTGTAGCGGCCATGTCCTCGTCCTGCACAACCACGAACAGATGGCGGATACTCGCACGGGCTGAAGGCGATGCTTTTTGTAAGGCCTCACGGAAGGACAGAGTCTTCGGGCTCTCTGTGATGGCCACAGAACGGAACCTGGATGACTCTGAGGCAGCACAGAATGCCGTACAGGCGGCCCGTACAGAGCTGGCCGTGCGTCCGCCATCGCAACTGGCAGCCTCGAAAATTAGCCCAAGCACTTCCGTCGGAAGCGTGTCCATGGTGCGCCAGACGTAATGTCGGTAGTAAGAGGGAATGCTCTGGAAATACGCCCACTTAAACCCCAAGGGACACGCGGGAGATAGCGTTGAGTAGTTGGCTGATATACTGCAAGGCGATGCATGTATGGGAGCGACTCTGAGCCAATAGAAGCGCTGAGTTCCATCAAAACTGATGTGTTGCAACATTGCAACATCGTGCATCCACTTCACATATATTGTATACTTGGGGGGAGTGGGCCAATGCTGTGCATGGCTGGTTACGAGTCCTGAGCTGGGCATAAGATACTCCCTATTTTACACTGTATATCATAGAGCTGACACAAATATTCCTATCTTTCTTGAAGTATTATTTGAATTTCACTAGACCTCTCAGGATCATCTTGTATATTCCTTGATTTGCTATAGAGCTCTGAATATATTATGGATTTCCTGCATTTTTCACAATTTTTCTGGCCCTTCTACAGCCTGCAATCAATTCCAGATACCAATGATGTAATGGCTCTGCAGATCGGGTGAACCTGCAGAGAGCCTATGTCATAGAAGGCAGGAGCCAGTCAGAGTCCAGGAATCGCGGCCCGNACCTCAGCCGCTGACTACAAGCCACTACAATAGTCAATTCCCCAGATAGCAATAAAGTAAACCGCC